TCTATTTCACCCCTGAAATTTTAATTCAATATTCAATATTACGTACATGCTTAGGTTTCTTGTTGCTGTCCGGTGATCGACCAGTTTGTGCCTGTTGTACATAAAAACCAATAAAAAAAGGCATAGACTACAACTTATCCGAAAAATTCCAACCACATATGCACAGTTACGAAAGAAGTTGATTTCTCAAAAAAAAAAATGTAATGAAAGTCCTACAGAAATTAAGTTATAAACCTGAGTTTCAATAATAAATTGAAAATGCTTTTATAGCTGATATTTCGGCCACCGAAGAAGCTATTTTTACTCGTAATGGGATAACCAATCTTCATAATACACACGTTTGGTCCTTTGAGAATCCTCACGCAGTGGTCCAGACACTTCCAACATCGGTTTTTTAAACTTGGGGGCAGGTATTGTCGATGAACGTCTAATTGGACCGTTCATATTGCCAGATCGGATGGATGGTCACCAGTATTTGGAATTTCTTCAGAATGATTTGCCGGTCCTTGTTGAAGATATGCTAGTGGCGATCCGAGCACGGATGTGGTTTCTGCACGATGAGGCACCTTCGCATTTTCGTTTAGAAGTTCGTGATTTTTTGAATCAGCTATACGAGATGCGCTGGATCGGAAGGGGTGGACCAATTGCATGGCCTCCCGATCTAAATCCTCTGGACTTCTTTTTATGGGCATACTTGGAAAACGAGGTATACCGTACTTCAGTTCAGAATATTGAAGGATTCCTTGACCACATCACAGTGGCTGCCGATAATTTGAGCCTTCAGGCACAGCAGGAAGGAGGTGTATTTAAATTAGTGCGCCGAAATTGGATTAGACGCGCCTAAGCTTGCATTGCAGTCAATGGAAGCAATTTTGAACAGCTTTTATAAGTAAGTGAACTATTAAACTGATATTATTTTATTATATCGATTTCTGTAGGACTTTTATTACATTTTTTTTTTGAGAAATCAACTTCTTTCGTAACAGTGCATATGTGGTTAAAAATTGTCGAATAAGTTACGATACACCTTGTAGAATTCATTTTTGAAGCTATATTTTTGGTTCTTTGTGGTAAAAAATCTGGAAACGTTTAAATTATACTAAGTGACATATAAATCCGAACACCCAGTTTAAATGGTTTTATTTTAATAAAATTTTGTATAAGTACTTAATGAAACATAATAAGTAAATGATAAAAATTTCAAAATGATTGCACTGCTTTAAAGCCCTTTGACCTTTAATAATGTGTGGATGCACCCTGATGTGCTACGCATTCTCCAACGCGCCTAGGCATGCTTCTGATCAGGTGGTCAATGTCCTCCTGTGGTATCTCATTCGAGGCAACCACCAACTCCTCTCGAAGTGCTTCTAGAGTCTGAGGAGGACGTTGCAAATTGAGCAATCTCCTACCCATCATATTCCACACGTGCTCAATTGGGGATAAATCGGTAGATCTTGGTGGCCATGGTAACAATGTGACATCATTATGTTGAAAGAAGTCTATTGTGACTCTTGCAACATGTGGTCGGGCATTATCTTGTTGGAAAGTTGGATCTGCCAGGGTGTCAAGATAGGGTAAAAGATGGGGTTCTAGAACTTCGTGGATATAACGCTGCGCGTTCATGTTACCTGTGATGAAGATTAAAGGTGACCTGGAACCATAAGCTATAGCACCCCAAACCATAACTCCAACAGTGTGATGAACATGTCTTTCAACAAAAAACTGTGGATTCCTCCTTTCACCACGTCGCCTTCTAACCCTGGCACGACCATCGTGCATGCCTAAACAAAATCGAGACTCGTCACTAAAGACAATACTGTTCCATTCCTGATCCCAGAGTGACCGTTGTCTGCGCCACTCAAGGCGATTACGTCGGTGTTCTCGAGTTAAAGGGAGGACCCAGTGTGGCCGGTATGAAAACAAGCCAAAACTTCTCATTCGTCGGTAAACACTTCGCATGCCAATAGGTCTTCCGTGTTCAGCAAACCATTCATTTGCAATGGACCTGGTAGTGGAGAAACGGTCCCTTAAGGCCAATAATCTTAGGCGGCGATCTTCACGGTCTGTTGTTCTACGGCGGCGTCCAGTGCCCCTTGCTCTTTGTGTACGGCCTTCTCGAAGCCATGCCTGACAACACCTAACCACAGTGTCTACACTTCTTTGCACTCTAACTGCAATTGCCCGAAAAGAAAGTCCAGCTTCCCGAAGTCCCACTATACGGCCCCTATCAAACTCACTAAGTTGACGAAATCGTACAGGTCTCCGTACTCTAGGCACCGTAACCGATCGTAAAGGATGTCAAGAACCAAAATCCGCCAACGTTGATTCTTTACTGCGGCTGAAATATTCATTTTTAGAGCGTTAGTGAATTAAAAAAAGCAGTATAAAAACCGGAATGTCCAACTGATAAGGCTGAAAATTTTTTCACTTGTTATTTACAGTAAGGTAAATACATTCACCAACTTTTATTAAAATAAAACCATTTAAACTGGGTGTTCGGATTTATATGTCACTTAGCATATTTTAAAAATCGTGGAAAATGGGGACGTTTTCGGTATTTCGGTAAATAAGGTGTCATTTCGATAGCGCGGAAAGTGTAGAGTCAACCTACTTGACGTCATCCATGACGTACAATAAACATGATTAGAAAAAAAATGAATCCGAAAATTTTTCCCACTCATGCGAGATTTTCGCCAAGCTTAACTGCATTATCGGCGATATCCAAGTGCAAGCAATTCTTCTAAAACCGACACGGTCTCCGTCTGTAAGCGCTGGTGTCGAAGCGGTCGAATTTTGATCCAAAAATCGCAAATTCAAGACAAAAATCGATTCCGTTCCTTTGTACAGACTCATTCAGAGCTCACCCAACTCTCATTCCCTGCACCTTACGTTTAGGCTTAGCTTATATGATTAGCGTTAGGCATTTTTATAGCTGAGGTTGTGGAGGGGAAACGTGAATACCAAAGGACCGTGACCCGTGACTGCTATAAAAAGTTGGGGCATAGCCGTTCCTTCTCTTAAGGACTCTGAATTCGATGCCAGTTTTGTTTTTAAATCGACGTCGATCTCATCTGGCTCATTTCCTACACCTAATTTGACCCCACGACGTTGTAGGGTTTTTATAATAATAATAAGCCTTGCCCAAAAGCTTATCGCCAATAACAGAGCAATTTATAAAAATTAAAGTTAGCGTAGAGGCATTTCCACCAAACAAAGCATTTATTTGTATACAAAACTATTTATTTATCTCAATTTGTTCAGATAGAGAACAAAAACACACGAAAATATCACTTTTTATTTCAATAAGTGTTTAAAATGTTCAAATGGACATTTTCAAAGACATGTGGGATATCGTGGCAGCTTTCGATGGTGCGTTGATGAAGTTCATCAAAACTTTCAGGATGGGGAGTAAAAACACAACAGATTTCAAGTGGCCCCATAGAAAAAAGTTTAATGGCTTCAAATCAGGAGATCTAGCAGGCAATTCTTTACGCCCTCTTCTTCCTATCCATTTATCTGGAAACTCGTCTAGTTATTGCCGAACCGGAAGAACCTAGTGAGGAGGAGCGCCGTCTTGCTGGAAATATTCTTCAGCCTCATCAAGTATAGGGTTTCCATCCTCTTCGATTTGGTTTTCAGTGGTTTCAGTGATAAGCGGATTTCCTTTAGTAAACAATGGCCTAATCACTTTCTTCCCTAAAATGTTTGCCCATATATTATTTTTTTAGGGGTACTAGGTATGCTCTTCTACAAATCAGCAGCTGTGGTCGCAGTCTCCTAATCAGTCTTCGTGCGCTGCAAAGATTTGAGTTGGGTATGGATGTTGTGATTGTCCATAGGTGGTAGACGGTCTCTGCCTGTGATACGCGGAGGTACCACCCGGCGGATCTCGAAGGCGGGGTCAGAATGTGTACATGCTGCATGCACACGTGTTCCCTCGCTAGAGTCCGTGTGGCGTCCCCCTCTTTTTCTCTGTATCCCCCTATAGCCCCATATTACTCCTTAGGCCTTCGTGGTAGAAAAAAAAGCACGAGGATTTTCATTGCTCCAATACCTGCAGTTATGCTTATTAACAAATCCATTTAGATAAAATGTGCATTCATCACTGAAGCAGTTATTCTTTACATGAAGCGTATTATCATTAATCGCTGCAGTCATTTGTTCACAAAACTGAACTCGCATATCATCTTCGGTTAACTCTTGCAATATTTTCATTTTGAATGGATGAAATTTATGAAGTTTAGTAACTCCGTGTACAGAGCCTAATGAAATACCAGTCGCTGCAACAATTTTGCGTAATGAAGTGTTATGATTTATTCCAAAATGACCCAAAACTTCAACTTGAGCGGCTTCATCCAAAACTCTCCGATGATCACGTTTTTTCGAAAGACCTTTCAAACAAGCTATTACTCGATACCTCGTGTCATTTAAATTTTTAAGAGAATGACCCTGGGGGGCCGAGGGTGAAAGGGGGTGAAGTAGTTTTTGGTTAAAAAGTTGTCCCCCTTGACAAATCTTTTGACGTTTCTCGGCGTTTTTTTTTAATCAACGTCCGATAAATCCGTGGTGGTAAGTATTAACTTATAAAACGCGATTTATTCTTTATCACGTTAAAGCATCCCACAAACCGGCGCGAAATATTCGCTTTGGCTGCGAAAATTTCGCGGCGATGATTTCGGGATCAGATTAAAACGCGGCATATCAGAATTAAAATAATTTACGAATTTGTCACGAGTAGAAAATGCTAGCCCTGCTGCCCGCCGAGGATCATTTGCTATATCAGTAAAAGCTCCAAGCACGGGTTCTGGGGGATCTAAGAATTGAAAATATTTGTCATCGCCACTTTTACTTCGTAAAAAATTGTGTAAAACAGATGCCGTACGTACAATTAGAATAGTAGTATCTACTTTAGTTTCTAATGGCCTGTAAAATATTCGCCATTTTTGAGACAAAATACCAAACGCATTTTCCACGACCCTTCTAGCTCGACAAAGTCTTACATTGTATTTCTCTTTTCTGACGTCTGTTAAAGTCTGCTTATAAGGAAATGGTCTCATAAGGTATGGTTTTAAAGCAAATGCTTCATCACCAATTGAGACGTACGAGCAGATTTCATTTTGCCCAGGGAGAAATCTAGGTGCAGGGACACTCATTAAATTTTGTTCAAATCGTTTTCCCATGTTTGAGGTTTCGAAAATACCCCCATCACTATTTTTCCGAAACCACCAATATCAACACATATAAATTTATAGTCCGGGCCAACAATGGCCATAAGTACTATTGAATATTTATCTAAATAGCACCAGTAATTGGAGCTACTGTTGTTAGGTCTCTTGATTGTTACATGTTTCCCGTCCACGCTGCCAATGCAATTGGGAAATCCCCATCTATTTTCAAATTCTTCAGCACATTTTTTCCATATATTCTCTGTTGGTTCTGGTAAATATATATGCTCCATATGTCTGCATATCGCTTCACAGACTTCGGTTACGATTGCACTCACTGTTGTAAAGCCAACTCGAAAGCTATGCCCAATGGTATAGAAGGTGTCACCAGTGGCAAGGAATCTATAAAAGGTGATGAAGTAAAAAAAAGGTGGAAGAATATCAGAGACACATTTGCAAAATATATAAAATCTACCAAACCAAAGACCGGCCAAGCAGTGGGCAACATAAAAAAATGGCAGTGGGCTGACTACATGGAATTTTTCCGTCCTTTTTTGGCATTTGCCAAAAAGTCGTCTAATGTGAAAGATATTGACGTCATACATTATGAGACTGCCGAATTTAACTCAAATATATATCAGGAGAGGGCTGGAAATGTAGAAACCTAATAATTTGGAAGACCGCGGCCATGGAGAAGATGAAAATGCTGATGTAGATGCAGATGCACAGAACGCCTCGGCAACACAGACAGCACCACCTTCTTCATTGAACACTACAGCAGTGACTACTCCAGGGCACACCTTTCCGCAGACTGCAACTACACCAAAATATAAAACGAGCAGAAAACGCTATGAACCACCATCTTCGTCTGTACAACAGCTCATTAATTATTTTGAAGGTAAAAAACCTAAAAAAGAGAACGAGGCCATTGATTCACTTTTCTTGGCACATGCACAGACTGTGAAAACACTTCCCTTAAAGCGTCAAGCCCGAATAAAACTAAAAATAGCCGAATTAATAGCGCACGAAGAATTTGAACATATTGAAGAAATGTCTTCAGCGTCTACCCAGAATTCTGCAAGTATGTATGATAGTAGTATGTCGTCCTTCCCAAGCGGCACTGGGTTTACTCCAATAATATACCCAACAGAGGAGGCAAATTCTGCCTCGAATTATTTAGCAACATTTAATCCTAGTGGCAACATGTAGTCCAATTATTACAATAAAATATTTATTTCACGATCCCTGAAGTTTTCGTATTCGATAAGCCTACTAATTTTAATCCATATAATTTTTTTACCGGAGTGTGATACCAAGTCGTTCTTCTGGCGAAATAGCTTCACGATAATTTGTGTCAGATTTTCGTATTTCATCTTTCACGAAGTTCAATATTTCATCGAAACACTCTGGAGTCATTCTAAAATATACGTAAAAGCGCTGTTCATCCAGCCGAAGTTGTGGCATCAAGGTATGGTATTCCCCAAATTTATTTCGTTCCAAGTTAATATCATGTACCCACTTCCTTCGTTTCCTAAACAAAATTGAAAATATTTGTTTTATGTACTTCGTTAAACTTAATACATACCCAACTATCAAATGGCGTTAAATAAACATAACTTACCGTGCATTTTGTTCCTCTTCTAAAGCAAGAAATAGAAGTGCCTCCTCTTCTTCTGAAGACGAGCTCATTGCAAAAGGCAAAAATAAAATGTACGCAACCTGTCGAAACCTTCACGTTCGCGGAGCGAATAAGACGCTTTGGTATGAATAAACAGGCGAAACAGATTGCGAATTTCGCTCTGAATTTCGTTGCGAATACTTCGCCGCGATTATTTCGCGCCGGTTTGTGGGATGCTTAAAACTGCAACCAAAAATGTCACAGTCGTTATTGGCATTGTATCACACTCTGCAGACCTCCAAAACATACTTTTCAGACAGGTTAAAGAAGTTGAAGCATCGCTGGGTCAAGTGTATCGCGCTAAAAGACTATGTTGCGAAACAAATCGCCACTTTTCCAAAATTTTCGTTTTTATGTTGTAGGCTTACTAATCGGACCGCCCTCGTATTGACTGGTGCTTTAGTTATAATAAGTTAGTCTGTGCTGTTAGGCATAAAAAAGGAACACTAGCTCGTGAAGCTAATGGTAAGCTATAAAATTGATGGTTATGAATTAGCAAGTTTTTATGCCCGAACTAATCAGAAAAGAGGTGGTGTTGCTATACAGGGTGTTCCATAATTATTGCGACAAAATGATAGGGGTTGTAGAGGGCATCAAAATGAACAATTTTTCCTTATAAACCCCTGTTCGGAAATATGCCGTTTGGGCTGCAGCAAAAAAAAAGATCAGTTTCTTGAAACAGCTTACCTACAGTAATTGCTCAAAGTGTCCTCCACCTTGCTCAATACACAGCTGTGCACGATTGTTCAATGATCGGCGAACTCTGTGGCATACCCCCGGTATGTCCTGAACATGTGCGGACGCGGCCATCACTCTTCCCAGTAGCTCTTGTTGGTTGGAAACAGGAGTTTCGTACACTAAAGCTTTCAGATAGCTCCAGATAAAATAATCCAGTGTGGTCAGGTCAAGTGACCGCGCAGGCCAAGGCACACGGCCACCTCGGCCTATCCACCTATTTGGAAATTTGTCGTCCAAATACTGCCGCACTTGTAAAGAAAAGTGGGCTGGACCGCCATGGTGTTGAAACCACATGTTGGCTCTTATATTCAGTGGCACATTTTGTAATAGTTCCGGTAGCACATGCTGTAAGGATCGACCATAAGCATGCCCATCCAAACGTGGTGGAAGCAGATATGGCCCGATGATATGCTCGTCCACAATGCCGCACCAGATGTTAATTGAAAACTGATGTTGGTCTCTATGGATGGCTATGGCATGAGGGTTTTCTTCATCCCAAATGTGACTGTTATGGCTATTAAAATAACCGTCCTTTGTAAAACAGGACTCGTCAGTGAACAAAACGTAGCGACCAAAGTTTGGTTGCCTCAACTCCTGCTGCAGCCACCAACGGCAAAAACGTCGACGCGGCAGATAGTCTGCTGGACCCATGGCTTGGACTTTTAAAAGGTGGTACGGGTGTACGATAACAAAAATGTAAACACAGCAGGCTTTTTTGACAAACCGGTGAGACCATGAAATGTGCTAGACGAACATTTTGCAGCTGGTGAATTTTTTGTTTCTCCTATGAGCTCTTAAGGTAAAATTAACTGTAGTGCTCAAACGGCATATTTACGAACAGGGGTTTATAAGGCAAAATTGCATATTTTTATGCCCTCTACAACCCCTATCATTTTGTCGCAATAATTATGGAACACCCTGTATACATTCGTAAAGATTTACAATACAAGCCAATAGATCTGAATAAATATTGTTTTGAATTGGACATTGAAGTTTGTTCAATATCTTCTACCATTTCAGACAAAAAAATTAAGATAGTAAATTGCTACCGTTCACCTAATCTTGACGTAGGCGTATTTTTAGAAAACATTGAAGAAATTTTAAATACTGTTTTCGATTCTAATTATTTATTGCTTGTATGTGGCGATTTTAATTTTAATTGTTCTGAGTCAAAATTTATTAATTTTATGAAATTGTGTAATGTTTTCTCTATGTTTGGTTTGTATCATAAAGGCGGTTGGCCAACCCGAGTGACAGATACTTCGGCCACAAGCATTGACCACGTTTTTACCAATATTACTCAGTTCGTTTCCTGTGTCTATGATAATACAGTTTCAGATCACAGAACGACTCTGCGGGACTTCGATGTTTTCTCCAAGAAATCGGACAAAATTTACTTGAACAAAATAAGTTTCCATCAAAACGCAATTAGCGACTGTAAAGAATCTTTATTAAACGAATCTTGGCTGTCAGTTTACTCTAGCTTTACAGTTTCTGAGTCGTTTGGAAATTTTTTTAATATCTTTTTGTACTATTTTAATAAGCATTTCTCTTTACATAAAGCCTGTAAGGGAAACGGCTCAAAAAGTTGGGTTACACATAACGTAAGAAATTCAAGCAATAATTTGACAGATTTATATCCTACTTCACAAATAAATCCAAGACTAAAGTCACTGTATAATGATGCTAAAAAGGCACATAAAAAATTGATCAGAGACACAAAAAGAACATTCTACCAAAACAAAATTGTACTGTCTAAAAATACCACCAAAGCGTGCTGGCAAGTGGTCAATGCAACTAAAAATGAGAACAAAGTTCGAAAAAATATAGTTCTACATAAAGATCAAAATGAAAGAGTGTACGACCCTCAGCTGTTGGCAAATATGTTCGATGATTTTTTTAAAAATGCTCCAGATGATATAATACAAAAAATTAATACCTCACATAGTGCAGCTGATTTCAAATTTAATGTCAAAAATTATTTCAAACTTTACCCTTATACAGATAATGAGTAATAAGTAACTTACTTTTGAAAAAATTAAAAAATTCCAAATCTTGCGGTTTTGATGACATTCCCAATTTTCTGGTAAAAGAAGTACTACATCTTATAATAAAACCAATAACACACCTTATAAATATCTCATTTTGCTGCGGAGAGTTCCCAAGTAGGCTGAAACTAGGCAAAGTTATACCAATTCTAAAAAAGGGGAACGAGCTTGATATTACAAACTACAGGGCAATCACTGTGCCGTCTGTACTTACTAAAGTGTTTGAATATGCCTATTTGGATAGACTTCTTCTACATCTTAAGAACAACAATATTTTGTCTCAAAACCGGCATGGTTTCACAGATGGTAAGACCACAATGTCAGCCATACATTCCTTTTATGAGAAGCTTATAGAATACATCGACGCGGGCGAGTGCCCTACTGGGGTATTTTGTGATCTCAGTAGATTGTTGTTAAATATGGTTTTGTCGGTCAGTCTCTTAAATGGGCCAGATCGTTTTTAGTCCAAAGAAAACAATATGTTTCACTAGAATATCTTGATGCAGGGAACAATATGAAAAACT